TACATATGTGCGCATGTATCAACTTGTCGTTAATACGAAATGGTTGGATTTGAAGCTTGAAAATGACATTCCACATGTGCCACTTTGAAACGTTTTAGATTATGAAATCACGTCAGTTATGTTTTTAGTCAGTCACAATTTGATGCAGCATTCAGCAATTTTGTTTTAAGAAATATCAGTCAGACATTCACACGTATCATTTTGAAAAACTTTTCTGTTATAAAATGGCGTTAAACTTGACATATTTCGAAATTCATCATTGCTTTGCATATTTTACACCATCGTTTGTTACAACTGATAATCGTTCATTGGATGGGTGCTGCCTTGTTTAAGCGTGGGTGGGGGTGTCAAATTGAATTACCCCCTGGTTTCCTGGGTCCCCGGGGACGTTTGCTGGAGCGCTGGCGCTCTCTGTGCTCCTACGTCAGGGCTTGGCTCGCTTGTAGATGGGTTTTATCTGCCTACGCCACCGGTACACGGACAAACGGTGTACAGGGTATACCTTCATGGAGGCGTTTTCAATTAAAATCAACACCGAGGGTTGCCTCCGACCACCCACTCACCCTCTCTACCTCTCCCGCTTTCTCTCTCTCCTTCCGTCTCTATTGATCTTCCTCTCTCTGTCTGACGTAGTTGCGCAAAATCAGATCCGTCTTTCTTTTTTCTGCTCTTATTTTCGCCTTCCTACCGACGTTCCCTCATGAAAAATTCACCGTACCAATGAAATTTTCGTCGGGCGTTAAACTAATGGAAGGAGATGTACACCGTGGTCTTATGGCGGGGATGCGGAGGAGGCACGGCGGAAATGTTTTGGATACCTTAATTGAATCGCTGGGAAATTATATGTATTGCTTGGACAGGTGTTAGGTTGCGTGTCATGGGAATAATAGTTTGATGATGTGAGGTAATGCTGAATGATGCTTGTCACATGGCGGTTTGCACCTTAAGGTTCTAAAGAACAGTATGTGAATATTCTTTATATAGATTGGCTAGTTTAAAAGCTTCAAAGTGATATACTATAAATGCATGTCATATAAGCATTTATGATATGTTAGCTTGAAATTCAAGGTTTCATGTAAATGACTACATGAGGATTTTGTCAATGTTTTCAATGTAGGTTGGTTGGATTCAAAGCTTCAAAGTGACATGTCACAAGTACATATGTGCGCATGTATCAACTTGTCGTTAATACGAAATGGTTGGATTTGAAGCTTGAAAATGACATTCCACATGTGCCACTTTGAAACGTTTTAGATTATGAAATCACGTCAGTTATGTTTTTAGTCAGTCACAATTTGATGCAGCATTCAGCAATTTTGTTTTAAGAAATATCAGTCAGACATTCACACGTATCATTTTGAAAAACTTTTCTGTTATAAAATGGCGTTAAACTTGACATATTTCGAAATTCATCATTGCTTTGCATATTTTACACCATCGTTTGTTACAACTGATAATCGTTCATTCAAAAACAAGGATGATAGGTTCACGCCGTTAATCCAGAGATTGATATACCATAAGCTCTATTTATAATAAATTACTGTGCTGAAGTGTCAGATGTCTCGTATCAGATGTTAGATACATGATAAAGTACATTCACTGCTAATAGAAACTTGGAACTTGCTTTGAGGCCGCCAGCTAACCATGTTGTATTAAAAATATTGACAAAATCTTTGTAAAATCAGTTTCCTTATACTCTCAGCTTTAAATTCATATATCATAAGTGTTATTTTGACCAAATTTTGTGTCGTCAAATTCTATTCAAACTTGGTATCTGTCAAAGTCGGTTATTATTTTTTAGAATTGCCAGATAACAAGATTTTGCAAAGAATATCAACAAAATTTTTGTACACTGACTTTTATTATGTTGCAAGCTTTAAATTCATGTGTTACAACTAGTATTTCAAAGTACTTTTATGTCATGAAATTATGTTAAACGTTATCAGCTTAATAGGATGCATTATCGCTGGTTTCATTGCTTTGAGGCCGACACCTAACCATGTTACACTACGAATATCAACAAAATACTTATATAGCTATTTTCGGGAAGCTTTAACCTTTAAAATAGTGTATCATACGTGTCATTCTGAGATGCTTTTCTGTCATGAAATCTTGTTAGACTTTCGACATTGAAATCAGCTATTTCAGCGACCTAATTACCTCAAAAATTTAATTTCTACAAAACGCCTTTCAAAATGTGAATAATTATCAAATTATAAACAAAGTTCCAAAATTTTGTAAATATTTATTTAAAAATTCCAAATCAATTCGTGAAGATAGAAATCTTTTGGGATGGAATCTTTTGCAATTGATTTAAATTTGTGAGTACATATTGAACTTGATCCTGTTCCTATCCATGGACCATTTATTGCTACTTCGTTTTCAATTTTCCAACGAGATGCCGTTCCTCCTTCGACTGTAAGAGGATAAGGAACCCGATGCTCCACCTTCCAGCTTCGTGTTTGTTTCTTCGACGTTTCTTTTTCCACGCTTTGCACCTTTGTTCGACGGGAACCGTTTGAAAGACCTCACGGTTTTCCCCCTTGCTGCGACATGTTATAAACTTGCAAAACGGGAAGCAGAGAAGTAGGGAATTCCTTTCGAAGCAATCGTTACGTACGACATTCTAGGAAAATTTAATAATTACTTTTAACAAGGTTTATTTACTTTACTAAGCAAATTGCTCACACCGTCGACAAATTTCAGTTCCCTTTTGTGCAGTTCCTCTCGTTAAGAATTTAAAAACAGTTTTTCGTGTTTAAATTAATTTTCTGACTTAGCCGTAAAAAGTATTCAACCTTAAATTGGCAGGAAAAATCCCTGCGAACCTTTCTGCATGCATTAACATAAATTTCCGGTATACTACAATTTTGTAATTTCGTCAAAAAATTATTTAAGATGGAAAACCACTCGTTTCGCATAATTTATTTAAATTGCTTCGATTTTCACGTTGCAAAATTAAACATTTTCTAATCTCGACTTTCATTAAAGGCTGGGGACTGTCTTTTGCGATATATTTATGAACGTACAGTGAATTAAGCCAACTCTACTGCATTAATTTCTCATCAAAAAGAAAAACAAAAATTTCTCAACCTCGTTTACTTTCACTATGAATGAATTGCTTTCATCGCGTGCAGTCACCCCTTGGATTTATTTAATTACCGAGCAAAATGCTCTTCCGAATCAATCGGGAAGCAAAACTTAGCTCTTTTCAAAATATGTAATTATTCTACTAATGAGAAGTGCGGTAGAGTCTCGTTATATTGCCGTTCGCATCTGAGTATCACATATTGTGTTGTATTACTGCATGCTATATCACCAGGGGTTATTATTATCACGTGTTATATGATTTCCGTATTTTATTACCACGCATTGGATTACCACGCGTTTTATCGCCACGAGTTATATTGCCACCCGTTCCATCGCCACACATTCTATCATCAAGTATTAGATCGCCACGCGTTGTATCGTTACGCGTTATGTAGCCACGCGTGGAATCAACACATGTTAAATTGCCACGCATTGTATTACCACGCGTTATATCGCTAAATATTAGATCGCCACGCGTTGTATTACCACGCGTTGTATCGCCACGCGTTGTATCGCCACACGTTATATCGCCAAATATTAGATTGCCACGCGTGGAATCACCACGCATTGTATCACCACGCGTTGTATTGTCACGCGTGGAATCACCACGCGTGGAACCTTCACGCTTGGAACCACCACGCGTTATAGCGCCAAATATTAGATTGCCACGCGTGGAATTACCACGCGTTGTATCGCCACGTGTTGAATTGTCACGCGTGGAACCACCATGCGTTGTATCGCCACGCGTTGTATCACCACGCGTTATATCGCCAAATATTAGATTGCCACGCGTGGAATCACCACGCGTTGTATCGCCACGCGTTGTATCACCACGCGTTATATCGCCAAATATTAGATTGCCACGCGTGGAATCACCACGCGTTGTATCGCCACGCGTTGTATCACCACGCGTTATATCGCCAAATATTAGATTGCCACGCGTGGAATCACCACGCGTTGTATCGCCACGCGTTGTATCACCACGCGTTATATCGCCAAATATTAGATTGCCACGCGTGGAATCACCACGCGTTGTATCGCCACGCGTTGTATCACCACGTACGTGGAACCTTCATGCGTGGAACCTTCATGCGTGGAACCACCACGCGTTATATCGCCAAATATTAGATTGCCGCGCGTTGTATTGCCACGTGTTGTATTACCATGCGTTATATCGGCAAATATTAGATTGCCACGCGTTGTATTGCCACGCGTAGAGTCACCACGCATTATATCGCCAAATATTAGATTATTTCGCGTTGTATCGCCAAATATTAGATTGCAATGCGTTGTATGACCACGCGTTGTATCACTACCCAATATATCGCCACATGTAGTATTACCAGACGTTATATCGTCAAACATTAGATCACCACATGTTATTATACCCCACACATAACAACCCAAGATAGATGGCATATATCACATACACCACCACATATTATATCGCCCACGTTATATCACTGTATGATTGACTCTTAATATACCTAAAGTTGTTCATAATCATAATACAAACGAATGAAATGAAATACCAATTAAATCACTCGAAAACATTCAGATGTGCATTACTAAAAAGAGGAAAGATAAAATGCGAACACGATTTAATTAAATTAAATGCGAGCAAACGTTTAATGACGCCGGTACGGTCCGCGATGACAAGTGATCGATAAAGTGTAATAAATATAATTACAACGAAAGTGGGAGGAGTGTATAAACAGAGAAGAGAGACATTGCAACGTTTCGTATCGCTTTTTTGATCATACTTCGCGTTATTATCGCGAAAAGTAGAATTGAAGCTGTTCGGTGTAATTCGAGCAGCATTCATTAGCGTTCGAGAAAATAATTTATCGTGAAATGTACATTGCATTTTCTGATAGCTTTTGTATTATTTTTCTGGTGTATTTTTGCAGGAGAATGGATGGGCCGGCGGTATTATCGATGCCGCCAATAACCGCGCCCCAAAAATCAGCACAGTCGCCGCAGCCGCAGTCCCACTCGAAATCGAATCAGGTATCTATCTTTTTCTATTACTATAGTTTTGTATTTAATACTTCTGTGTTAAATTTCATTTCACATGCTTAATATTAATATTCATTCATCACTCAGCCATAGTTTCATCAGAAATCATTCTTCAAATTTATTTAGTAACTTTAGTTACTTTATGAAATATCTGCATTAGGTATACTGTTCTTATGTTTCAGTACAAACTTCTTTTCTTTCCATTTCAGTCAAAAAGATAATGTTTATGTCTAACAGTTATGTGATCCTACTCTTAGGAGTTGCTGGTTGATCATATCCTACTATGGCATCCACATTCTGTCCCTACCTTCTGTCCATCTTATTTCAATCAGAAAGACAGTGTTACTTTTCAGAGACCATGTTATGAACCTAAGGAGTTGCAACTGGTCATCATATCTTCCTATATCATTCACATCATGACCCTACCTCCTCCTCTTCCCACTTCTCATTACAGCAACACTAATGTCCAGAGGTCATATTGTGATCTTACTCTTAGAAGTTGTAGTTCGATCATTATATTCAGCTATGTCATCCACATTCTACCCCTACCTTGTTTTCATCACATTTCAATGAAAAGAACAACGTTACTATCCAGAGACCATGTTATGAACCTAAGGAATTGCAAATCATCATCATATCTTCCTATGTCACTCACATCATGCCCAACTTCCTCTTCTTTCTACTTCAATCAGAACCCAATACTAATGTCCAAAGACCATGTTGTAATCTCACTCTCAGAAGTTGTAGGTTCATCACCATATCCAGCTATGTCATCCACATTCTACCCCTACCTTGTTTTCATCGCATTTCAATGAAAAGAACAACTTTACTATCCAGTGACCAGGTTATGAACCTAAGGAATTGCAAATGATCATCATATCTTTCTATGCCATTCAAATCATGCCCAACTTCCTTTCTTTCCACTTCAATCAGAACCCAACACTAATGTCCAAAGACCATGTTGTAATCTCACTCTCAGAAGTTGCAGGTAGATCACCATATCCAGCTATGACATCCACATTCTGTCCTTACCTTCTTTTCATCTCATTTCAATCGAAAGGGCAACGTTACTATCCAGAGACCATGTTATGAGCCTAAACTCACAAGAATTGTAAATGATCATATCTTCCTATGTCACTCACATCATCACCCTACCTCCTCTTCCCACTTTAGTCAAAACCCAACACTAATGTCCACAGACCATAAACCTAAACTCAGAAGCTATAGGTGATCCTATATCATTCACACCATGACCCTATCTTTTCTCACTTCAACCAAACCACGACGTTAATGTCCAGAAATCATGTTGTGAACCTAAACTCGCAGGAGTTACAGGTGAGCACGGTGTCCCTGTACGGCATCCACATCGTGTCGCTGGTGATCGAGGGCCAAGAGCGTCTCTGCCTGGCGCAGATCAGCAACACGTTGCTGAAGCAGTTCAGCTACAACGAGATCCACAATCGCAGGGTGGCGTTGGGCATCACCTGCGTGCAATGTACCCCGGTTCAACTGGAGATCCTCCGACGAGCGGGTGCGATGCCGGTCTCCTCCAGAAGATGCGGCATGATCACCAGAAGGGAAGCCGAACGCCTCTGCAAATCGTTCCTCGGCGACAACGCGCCGCCCAGGTTGGTTAAATTGACACGCATGGCCTTGAAATCGTGCTCTAAAAAAGATATCGCGGTGTGTTCCTCTCAAGACTGCCCGAGGACTTCGCGTTCTCCGTGCACCACGAGTGCGCCTGGGGCTGCCGCGGCGCCTTCTTGCCTGCCCGTTACAACAGCTCGCGGGCGAAGTGCATAAAGTGTGCCTACTGCGGGCTCTTCTTCTCGCCCAACAAGTTCATCTTCCATTCTCATCGGATCGGCCCGGCGGACAAGTACGTTCAGCCCGA